ACCCCAGCACTTCCTTCACAGGCAGGCTGAGGCAGCAAGAGGGTCTGAACTGAATTTTGAATCTGCCTGCAGGTCTTTATTTCAATCTGTCCTCTCCAGCTGATGCCACTTCTGCCATCGAGGTTTGGACAAACATTTGAAACCAGACTGCTTTATCCATAAAATCCTGCATGGATCACTGTAACTACAATGGATCAGAGAGATTATTAAAAATATTAATCTAGCAGTGGGATTAGGTCTTGAAATGCTTCCAACAATGAGGAGATGGTCTAGATTAATAGAACTCCAGATTTGTCAAGTATGGGAAATCATGTGCAAATCTGATTCATAAACTGGTGATAAAATATTATAGCTGCAGGTGATCTTAAAGTAAACAAATGCAAATATGAAATATCTTCACTAAAAGAGTTCTGTAAATCCACACAACTAATAACATTTATAAGCTCAGCATTCATCAAACACTGACAGAATGCTTTAGCCGAGCTATAGATGCTTTTTATCCTCAAGATTTTTCATCTCAGAAACCTTTTGTTGCAACAGCCACTAGATCAGAGTCAGTCACATCTTCTACCCCTTTATTTCAGAAAAGCAACATTTTGACAATCTAGTTTTATTACCTGGTGGAAAAACTATTTAAAGTAAATTCATCTTTCACTCACGAAATACGAAACTGACAATGGATCTCCAACCTCCTTGGTGGAGGACTTAGAAAAGTCCTACAGGCATTTTCCTCGTCCTGTGCTGTATTTTCAACGTATCACTCTGTTAAATAGGATTTTGCTGTATAATTAAATCAAAAGTGGTATTAACATGAAATATCGAGGAAGATAAAGGCACTACTTTACATTAAGACCAATTCCTAGCCCTGAGCATTAAACAATCAAAATGCATTTATTATAAAGTACAAAAGTGATGAGAAAGTTAGCATGCTTCAGTGTCTAACCCTTTAAATATTTTTTTTAGTTATTGTAAATTTGTATCAAGATAGATCTCTAAGTGAACACAATTTATGCTCATTCATTATCAATTAAGATTTTTCATTTTTTTTTTTGAAATTGTAAAATAAAACTCAGCAGGTGAGATTCTGTCTTTGGGTCCATGTGGCAGGGGTGAGGTGGTGCTCACTCCTCACTCCTTCCACATGGACCCAAGGGATAAACCATCAACACTGCTCAATGGTAAACTTTCCTCGTGGGGTCACACTCATTAGGACAGTGGGAGGGTTAAAAAAGCCTTCAATATGGGACTGAAATTTGTTTTCAGAAGTAAAATACGATGTACTGCTGACTGAATGTGGCCTAAATGAGCCTATATCCATCCTGACATTTGTCACAAATTTGATTTCGATCGATAGCTTTTTTGTTTTTAATCGCCGATGCTCAACTGTAGAGGTCATGGTCAGCCGTTTGCCAATATTTGGACCAATTTCACGTTTCCTACCCCACTTGCATGTTTTAATACCACTAACGAAAACAGTAGATGCCCCAAATTTCTGAAATGGATTTGAACTCTGCATTCAATGACTATTTAAAACTACACTGGGAAATTAACAAAACAAGCTAACAACGTTCTAACTTTTTATAGCAATAAATATATTGTGGAGATTAAAAAATATATGTATGAGGTGGTTCTCTTGCATTTTCCTAAAAACCTCCACCAATAACATATTTTGGACCAAAAGCAAAAATTGGCCCATCCAGTTGTGTCTCACCAGACCGCCACACTTCCCTGGGTCGTCCACTCATTACGCACTTGTGTACCTTACAACACAACACAACGGGTGTGAGAAGTTTGTGGATCCAGAGCATCCCAAAACTTGCTCAATGGGTGACACGTCTGGTGAAGAGTATGTTAGCCTTGCAAGAAATGGAAAATTTTCAGCTTCCAAGTATTACATACAGATCCTTGCAATGTGGGCATTATCCTGCAGCAACATGAGGTGATGGTCATGGATGAATGGTACATCAATGGGCCTCAGGATCTCGTCACGATATCTCTGTGCATTTAAATTACCATCAATAAAATGCACCTGTGTTTGTTATCCATACCATACGCCTGCCCATACCGTAACACATACCATATACGCTAGGCTGAGTCAGACAACCCTGAAACGGTTACAGCTAGTTCAAAACTCTGCAGCTAGATTTCTGACAGGCTCAAAAAAAAAATAAATAAATAAAAAACTCACATTACGCCTGTGCTGGCCTCATTACACTGGCTTCCTGTGGCATACCAGGCAAGTCTTATTTGTCTTCCGGTCCCTTCTCTGTAGTGCCCCGCCATATCTAGCTGAGTTACTACAGCCAGATCGGCTGATCAAGAATTACTAATAGTAAAAAAGCAAGCCTTTGTCCACTCAAGTTAATTATGACAATTTACTGCAGTCAGGTCCAGATCCCGATGAGGACAACGAGCATTCAGATGAGCTTCCCATAAAGTTTCTGACAGTTTGTGCAGACATTTGTTGCTTAAGCAAATCTATTGTTGTTGCAGCTGTCCATGTGGCTGGTCTCAGAGACCATTAGGTTGTGATGGTCCTGGGCTGGTGTTGTTATGCATGGACTGCGGTTATGGGGCCGGTTGGATGTACTGCCGAATTCTCTGAAACACCTTTGGAGATGGAAAATGGTAGAAAAATGAACATTAATTTCATGAGTAACAGCTCCAGTAGACATCCTTGCAGTCAGTGTGCCAATTACACTCCATGTAAAGTGTCACATCTGTGGCATTGTGCTGAGTGATCAAACTGCCAATTTAGGAGTGACCTTTTATTGTGGCCTGTCTAATATCATGCTGTCTAATCAGCACTTTGATTTGCCTCTCCTATGATCTTGGGAGTGTTGCATTTATATTTGTTATTAATATTCGGCATTAGCACAGGGATGCTCAAATGTGCTCTAAAAGTATATGGGTCTATGTCAAAATATAAAAAAAAATGGTAAATTACAGCTAGCCTAGATCTGGACAAGTGGGGGAGTAGAGGGAGGTGGAGTGTACAGTCGGTAAAGATGGCTCTCCCTTGCCCTGCCTCCATCTAAAAAGGCTACAGTAGGTTATCCAGAGTTATCTCTGTAGTTATGTTGCTATAGACTTAGACTGTTGGAGGACACACTGACCACTTTTCACACTCTACTACTTTCTTCTACAATCTGCTCTTTAACTGTATTAACTGTTTGAGGAATTTCAGTCTGGTTTTAGAGAGTATCACAGCACTGAAACTGCATTAGTGAGTTACAAATTATATTCTCAAGGCCTCAGATAAGAATCTTGTGTCTGTTCTAGTCTTGTTAGATCTCAGTGCTGCCTTTGACACAGTTGATCACAATATTCTTTTAGAAAGACTTGAACATGTTGTAGGGATCAAAGGAACAGCGTTAGGCTGGTTTAAATCCTACCTGTCTGATAGATTTCATTTTGTAAATGTACATGACAAATCGTCCTCATACTCCAGGGTTACTTGCGGAGTACCACAGGGTTCAGTGCTTGGACCAATTCTTTTTACTATATACTGTATATGCTCCCAATTGGTAAAATCATTAGACAGCATGGGATAAACTTCCACTGTTATGCTGACGATACTCAGTTATATTTATCCATTAACCCTGATGAACCTAATCGGTTGGGTAGATTACAGGCTTGTCTTAAGGACATAAAAAATTGGATGACTCTAAACTTTTTGCTTTTAAATCAAGACAAAACGGACGTTCTCATCTTTGGACCAGAAATCCAGAAAAGGAAATTGCTTAGCCAATCGCCTGACCTGAATGGCATTACATTAATCTCTTACATTAATATCTAAAATTAGGATGGGAGGCAGATCTTTTAGTTATCAGGCTCCTCTCCTGTGGAACCAGCTCCCAGCTTTAGTCCGAGAGGCAGACACTTTGTCTACTTTTAAGAATAGGCTTAAAACATTTTTATTTGATAGGGCCTATGGTTAAAATCTGATGTTAGCCTAAATCTGGACAAGTGGGGGAGTACAGGGAGGTGGAGTGTACAGTCGGTAAAGACGGCTCTCCCTTGCCCTGATTCCAACATGCGTCCATCTAAATAGGAAAGATTATCCTGAGTTATCTCTGTAGTTATGCTGCTATAGGCTTACACTGCTGGAGGATACATTGACCACTTTTCACACTCTACTGCTTTCTTCTACTATCTGCTCTTTAACTGTACTATTTTCTGCAATTCCAGCTGTTAACTTTATTTTCTCTGTAAGTTTTTTTCTCCCCAGAAGAAGATACAACGACGTACTGCTGAGCTGTGGTGACCTCATGGAGGGGGCCAACGACTAGCACACTGCTGCTAACCACTAAAACATTCTCCCTCTCCTGATGATAACTTTTTGCTTTCCTTGACATTGGATGTGCTAATACTAGTTTATCCGTTTAGTTATAGATCCACTAGGACAAATACAATAAAGTTTATCTCTCACCAAATAGAATATTTACTAAGAAATCACAATGTAACCATAGACACACTTGGTGTGAGTGTTGGTGTATGTGTGTGTCTGCTCTGTCTTCTCAATCCCCAGTGAGTCGTGGTGGACGGCTGCTTATACTGAGCCAGGATTCTTTGGAGGTTTCTTCCTGTTAAAAGGGAGTTTTCCTCTCCACTGTCGCTTTATGCTTGCTTAGTATGAGAATTGAGGCAATTTGCTGGGTTCCTTATATAGGAAACATTTTTTCTGATTGGCTTAATGAACTGACCTGTATTGGAATGTTTATGTGAAGTGCCTTGAGACGATTCTTGTCGTGATTTGGCGCTATAAATAAACTAGAATTGAACTGAATCAATAGATCAGTCTATCCCTAGTTCAAATCAATATTATTTAATAATATATGAAACATTGAAGTTCTGATCTTGAACCTTCATAATTAAACAATTTAACATAATCAAACTCAATTAATCTTCATTTCATAAAATGTTATTAAATGGTCATCACTAAATGTAGACCCTTTTAGGATTTTACATTACCAAATGAACTTCAAACATAAAGAGCATGTGTAAAAGAGTATTTATGTAAAATGTTACAGGTAATTGGTACAATGACATTTCATTTTGTTCAAATTTATGAGTAATAATGCATTAGCACCACAAAATGATCTGAAATGGGAAGTCTAAACTTAAAGCTGCTATAACAAATTAGGAAAACAAATTAGCTTAATTTTTCTTTCATGTCTCTTAGAAATGTTCTCACATAGTATAGCTAACAAATATATCGAAAGAGAAAAAAAATAAAATAAAGCTGTTCTATCACATTTGTCTAAAAACTTCCTCCAATAACAATTTTTGGACGGAAAGCCACAATTGAACCATCTGGTTGTCTGTCTCACTGAACTTCCCAGGGTCCTCCAACGATAACACCACTGGTGTGAAAGGTTCACGACTCAATATCAGAGGAAAAACAGCTAGCTGCTACGACTTTCACTTTAGGACTAACTACCAGATGACCCCCCCCCCCCCCCCCCCCCCCCAAAAAGTAAAAAATAAAAAAACACCATTTGAAGCTTTGGACAACACCTAGAAAACAGTGACTGGTTTTGAACACGCTCTCATTTCAACGAGGGTGACTTCAAATGATCTGGCATCGCGGGTTTCCTGTTCCAGCTGAAGCACCTCAGAGAAGATACCCAAGTGAAAGGGTGAGTGTTCCGTGACCGTGTTTGCGTTTAAAGCCTAGCTTGTTCGCAGATTTGTTGTAACAGCTTTGATAAATAAAGGATTTCAGTCCAAATCATCCCATTCTAAGCCCAGTGCCCTAAATATACAGTAAACTGTGCAGCGGTTATAGAATTAGCACCACAGCGTGTAGCCTGTAGAACATTGCAGATAGTAAGCCATTAGAAAAGCACACAAACACATCGGGGGTGAACATATCTTCACTTCTTCCTCCCCTGAAGCAGCAGCAGCACCTGAGATCCTCATTAGGTCACCTACTGAAATCCTACATGAATTGTGATGGCATGTTGGAGACAACCTCTCCATGAACTCAGTTCTTGTCTCTGCAGGCATGTTCACCAACAGTGGCTCTGCCCCTGGCTCAGTTATTAGCTGGCACACAGCAGGATCCCAGAGTGCGTCTGCTAACAGGACAGCAAAAACTCCCTCCGACAAACATGCAGAGAACCAACAATCTACGGTTTCTTCACCTCACACTGGATGCACAGCTCCTTTGTGTTGTTTTCACCATTTTATTACAAACATTAGTTTTAAGAGACTACACCAAATTTAAAACATAATAGATGCTTAAATTGTGATTTTAAATTCTAATCGACTACATTTACAAAGTTCATCTGACCTCGGTGAAAGGAGCTGGGCATGTGGAAAAGTTGTTGACAATTAAATATTTTTCTTTTCTTTTTCAGCTAAAATGTTTTTTATGGTTTCTAAAGTTAAGATCTACACAGTAGTGTCCTCTTGAATTATTGCTCTGGAAACAGTTGAACTTGAGACAGAGTCCAACTGTCTCACACAATTAACAGTACTGCATTCAGGAAGTAGAATGAGGACAACTGGGTAGGATTTTTGCCACATGCACAGCATAATTACACCTAATAATGTGTAAACAACCTTACAAGTAACAGTTTATGATGTTTCAGCACATAAATACGGATCTACTTAAAAAGGTTGATTAAAAAAACATTACATCATCATTTCCATGGTAAAAAAAAATAAGTTACAAATCTGGATAAATATTTGACACAAAACGGTAACAAAACAGGCTTGTTAAAAACAACAACACAATCCAGGTTTCGTAAAGTCATTTCTGATAAAACTAATGGGGGGGGGGGGGGGGGGGGGGCAAGTCAGTTCCTTAACTGCTCCACAATCAGAAGGCGGTTGAAGAGCGCTCCATCCCAGATCCCAGACTCATGTCTGATGATGACGGATCATCCTTCTGGATATGGACTCCACTTCCTACAGGCTGAACACAAAGTCAGGAGGGGAGAGAGTTTGTCGTTTGTTTCTATAATAACTTTATCCAGCATATACAGACATTCAGATTATTCCCATCAAAGCTAAAACAACACTTTCACAAGGTGTACTTGTATCAAACTCGTGGGTTCATTTCAGAAGCTCTCCAGAGACACCCCCCCACCCCCACCCCCCTCCTTCCCCTTTATAAAATGGGAATGGATGGTGATATTAACGTCCTGTTTGTGGAACATTAGTATATGTGAGGGGGCAAACTTTTCAAGATGGGTGGTGACCATGGTGACCATCTTGGATCCAACTTTTGTATTTTTCAATAGGAAGAGGGTCATGTGACATATCAAACGTTTTGGTAATATTGGCCAATGTGAGACTCAGTCCAATGAGAAAAATAAGCATTTTTATGACATATTTAAAAGTTATTATATTAGAAAAAGACTTGCAGCACAACCAGTGTGTTTGTTTCTGAACACAACCAACGTCACAAACTAGAGTTTGTTCTTTAAAGCTTCTATTAAATCCGCCGTGTTCACGTATTTTAACAAGTTTCCTCTACGCTGCAGGAATTAAAGTTTACATTACGGAGTAAAAGTTCGGCAGACGCGTTTGTTTATATCCGGGTGTGGGAGGGAGGGGGGACTCGTGCTGCACACAGACAGCTGGTGTGATCAGCTCTGAAAAGCGTTGATCATAATTTGCAGATCACGTTTATTTTTCACGGAGATCGGCGGCAGATTCCTCTTCCGGTCGGCATTCTAGGAATCAAAATAAAAACTCTGAACAATTCCAGGAAAAACTAACAGTTGGTCCCGGTTCCAATCAATGCTCGACCCTACTGGTCAAGTTTCCTGGCGGGGTCACCCAATAGGACAGTGGCAGGGTTAAAAAATGTTTTTAATAAACATTATTAAACACATATTTTTAATGTTACCTGTTCTTCAGCCGCTTTTGAGGAAGAGCTCTGAAAATAAAAATACAGATAAAGTTAATGGAACTGATTAAAGTCTAACGTTACTTCTTCACGTTAAAACCAGCAGCACAACATTACCCCAATTCCACCCTCTGCTTCTCATCTACCTTGACATAAACTGTCTGGATGCTGATGGTTATATTCAGCCATGAAACCTGAGTTCTAGAGTTACTGAGTCTTCAGGTCCAATTAAAGTCACCCCTTGTGCTGATTAACACCGTGCTCCACATATCTCAGCTAAGATGATCATCCTGTTGTCTTTGGCATGTTGTTCCTCTTTTTAAAATTAGATTTTGGCCTTTTCCAGTTTATTAAATGTTCAAAGTCTCTTATAGCTGTAACACATTTGATGTAGCTTGTATTTAATGGTTTGTGTTGAATTGAAGGGAAGATACATACTGGATGTAGAGTTTGACAGCAAGATGTTTAACTCTGAGACTCAATATTTACATTACAATAAAACATTTACAGTTAAACATATTTAAATGAAAACAACAGTAGCAAAAACAGCTCAGATCCACATCTCGGGTTGTTCTGATAAGAGAAATATTTCTCTTCATTAAGCTTTCCAAATCTAACTACTGAAGTCAAGAGTTGGTGCCACCTGCTGGAGGAATGTATGTTTACCTAAAGAGTCAACATTTAATAGCCTAGTGAACTAGACTAAATTCTTGCTTTGCAAAGAATGGTCTAGGCATGCTCCATTGGAACCTCAGCAGCTCATACCAGGACTCTGGCTAGCCAATCACAGCTCTCTAGAGGGGTTTCAAACACATAAAGAGCTGTGATTGGTCCATAATGGTGGGCCAATCACAGTGCTCTATCTGCTTAGTGAACAAATCACAGAGCTTTATCCTCTTTGTGGGCCAATCAGGGCACTCTATATGCCTGGTGGGTGGGATGATGCAACAGAGTGAAACAAGAGTATGTCACATTCATTGCCCAGTAGCATGCGGAGATCATTTGAAAGACAACGGTAGAACCCGCCCCACAACCGAGAGCTGTCAATGGAGCGTTGCTAAATGTATTATTTAGTCTGGCTTGCCAGGCTAAACATTTAAGAGTTTCATTGAGATTTACACACAAGATTGGACAGTAGCAGAAAAACAGTGAAGCCTAAAATCGCATCTATACTTAACAGAAATACATTCTTCTGATAGGTTAGATGTCTGATTTAAAGCTAGACTTGATACAAGTGAATGTTCATGAAGAAGCTGTTGGTATTTTGTGATCCACTCACCGGTAGATGTTTGGGTCTAATAACATGGCCGTGTCCTGTGGTAACTGGGATAAGTGCACTACTTTAGTCTTCAACTGAGATCGCTCTGTCTCATTCACCCACACATCAGGCAGTCTGCAAGGAGGAGGAGAGCAGACAGCGTTTGGTCAGGCCTTGATGCCTAACAAAGAAAAATCTGATACTCAACAACTTCCTCTGAAAGCTGAGGTTTCATACATGTCCTTGAACAAAAAACAAAACAAAACATAACCGAGAACCCACAAGTGGAGACAGCAGCACATACAGGATGAAGCTTAACATTCTTAACATGAACATGATCGGTGTGTGTATGTAAATTAAAAACATTTGTTCTTCTTGTTTTTGGTCAGTATTATTGGAAGTTCAACACCAGAGGCTTTAGATTAACCAAAGTAAGATGTTTCTGTCCACTAAATTCAAAAGATAATGAGGTTGTCTTTAAGGTGATACATGCTTCTCTGCTGCCCCTTCAACACTGATCTCCTTTTTGTTAAAGATAAAAGTGTGAAGCATTTGCCTCACCAAATGAGGTGCAAAGAAAAAGGAAACAAAGAGCTTAACAAGTACACTGCGCTTCAACTCCTTCCTCCACCTCATCCCCTTATCTACACCCCCAGCATTCCCTCGTCACAATGTGCGTCATCACAGGAGCCCCAGAGACACACACACACACACACACACACACACACACACACACACACACACACACACACACTTGGATCTGTATCACAGTGAGGACCATCCATTGACTTCCATTCATTTTTGTGACTGTATTATGCCTAACCCAAACCCTAGCCTAACCCAATGCTGATCTATTCCTAACCCTAACCTCAACTAAAAATGACACCATACCTCTAAAACTAACTGGTAAGCTTTTAAAAAAGTGAGGACCACAAAAATGTCCTCACTTAGAACAATGGCCCCAAATTGTAGATAAAACAGTGAAAAGGGTCCCCAGCATGTAGTAAGTAGAAGTACAAGCACACACACACACACACACACACACACACACACACACACACACGAACACACACACACACACACACACACACACACACTGATAGATGCACACTCTGCAAGCTGCAGTAGGTCAAGCAGGCATTTGGCCAGCTAAAATCACTGACAAGCCCAGTCAGCGAGTTCATAGAGCAGGTAGAACTTCATATTTAAAGGAGCCAGATCGTGCTATTCTAAACCTTTGGGAACAAAGGTAGGCACAACATATGATAAAATATTACTGTTGGCACTATTGAGATGTCATTTATCTTAAATATGAGTGATTTGTTTCATACTATGAAGTGAAACGATTTGCTTCGGTGAAACTCCGCGCACGTCTACTGTGACTAAACACACCTACAACAGCGTCGTAGACAAGTCAATTGTTGCATTGGCTTTGGTGGTCTAACTGTTAAATCACCTGCCTTTCATTTTGTCTTGCCATGCCCTTACGCCAGTTCGGCTCCCGGTGTCAGTAGTGATCTATTTAGCCAGCTGAAGCAGATTACTTTTTTAAAATATTTTAGTTTTATTTATTATACTTCATCATATTTGGTGTCTCTAAAGATCTTTGAATTTAGTCAGGTCCAAGAAGCATTTTCATCGAATATGTCACATTGTTTGTTGCTATAAATGACCCTACTGTTGTCCAGTTGCGTGTTGAAACAATTTGAAAGACAACTGTAAATTCCACCTCACAACCAAGCTCTGTCTACAGGTGATGCAAGAATAGATACACGTTTAGAAAAGATGTGCCAATTTGATCATGTGATCAAAAATCGGGCCCAATCGTGATTTTCCAAGGATCAAAATTGGACGGAAAACATCAGATATTACCTTATAAAACAACAAACATGGACTTTTAAATTAATCCTGAGATAGAATTTTTCAAACATAATGATGACTTGGTTTTCATTTGAACAACTTCCACTACATCAATATTCATTGTTGCATGGATGACAACGCCAAAACCCCACACAATTTAGGCATGTAGGCAATTCAGACAATGTAAAATGTAGCTGTTAGCTAGCAGATAAATGCAGAGCTAACGTGACGCCTCAGCAGGAGAGTGAAAATGTCTGCAGTTTGGACGTATTTTTAAATTGAACAGTGAAGGCAGTGCAACATCTACTTGTAATGTGTGCATACTGGGCATTTCACATGATGGAAAAGGCAGCTGCATTCAACACTACACCGACTTAAAATCAAACTTCTTTCTCTTTTGGCTTTTCTCTTCAGGCGATGCCATAGCCAATCGCCTGCCTCCATTTAGTCCTCTTCTGCTACATTAAAAACAAACACCCAGCTCATTTGATTGCAACAAGGCCAGAAACAAGGCCAGTCAACACTGAAAGATACTTCCTATAAACAGCAAAATAGACACGGCCAAGATAGCGGTATTTGTCACACTGGATGACTGTCTGGTTGCAACTGTCAGATTTTGCAGTCTCCTGGAGCTGTGGTATGAGTTACCTTCTCATCATAACTTTGCAGAAGTAGCTCTACAGATATTGTGCAGAACAAAAGTCAGCTGGCGGCCATGAAGTGCCTGACATGATGCAGGAATGCGTATCACATAATACAGACTAGGGCTGGGCAATAAATCGAAAATGTATTGTTATCGAAATTTCGGACTCTTATCGAGATAATTTTTCCCATGTCAATGAATTTGATGCTAAAAAATGAAAAGATGTGTGTAGGTTGGACATGTTCATGTCCCTTTAAGAAGCAGTGCCACCTTGAGTCGCGTAAAAATGTACTCAATGCAATACATTCGACAGCCCCATCTAGTGGACAACTGTTGTTTCTGCACATACCTGCAGTTATCGTCTGTTTATCGTTATCAAGATGAAATCCTCATTATATCGTGATATTAATTTTAGGCCATATCGCCCAAGACACTCACTGTTATAACATTTTGAAATACGACCAACATAGGCTACTTTCGTAATATTAGCACGCTTCTAAAAAGAACGAAATGCATAAATAATAAAAAAACTCATTAAATAGTTTTTCAGATCAATCAGAAAATATTTCATTATATAAAACTTCATCATAGATATATACATCTATGTAATCTATACAATCTTTGTAAACTCGGTGACACAAACAGTCTGGATCCCAATCTGATAGAATAAATAGTTACATTAAAAATTCATGAGCTACAACCTTCAAAGCTGGTTGTGTCAACTGCAGTGTGATGACGTTTGACCCTAAATAATTCATATTGTTTATCCATTAAGGAACTGAAGTTTATGCTTCAAAGAACCTAAACAGTCATAACAGCCTAAACAGCAGCAAAATTTTCAGTAATACTCTTCAGTCTTTTATTCGTGTTTTTCCTTTACAGCTGGCTGATGCTTCCTACGATCTGAAGGAAAACTGTCAAACTAGACTCAACGCACATTAGAAAATAAGCCTTATTCAGTATTTCATGAAGACGCTACTGTGGCATTGGTAGAGCAGTTAAGCGTCCATTATAACTAGAAAACTTATTTCCCCAGTTATTGCATTTGGAGAACTTAATTTAATTTTTACCAAATTTATCTTTTGGGAGGAAAATACTTTTTCATGTTTTGTAAAAACATTCCTTTTTGCTTTTTTCAGTTTTTAACCCTAACCCTTTTCAAAAATAGAAGAAACTGAAAAACTCCATACAGAAGAGGACACAAAACCAGCTAATATCTAGGAGATAAGCTGCATTGTGCCAACATTGTGGTCTGATTAGGAAAATGTCTAAAAGATCCTTTTACTTGTGATTTTCACAGTAAGACCTGGTGTATTGTAGTGCTTACCATGCTAAAACAATCAAATGCATGCAGGGGAATCCGTTTACCCATCCATCAAAGATTGGGCAGTAATTACAGCTCTGTTCATTTCTTCCAGTCTTCTCACTCCTTCTCTTCTTCCTCACTGAACTGTAGATGAATTGTACTCAGATTGGCTCATGTTGATCAGTTACTCATTAATCTGGACTGAGTTAATGAGTGCCAGCCAGAATGTGAATGGTTGGCTCCAGCATTAATAGACATGACTTCCCACATTCACTAAGTTAATCATCGACTTTATGACATTGAAATATGCACATACACATATGCACATGCAATAGTTTTTTTATGTCAACCTCAAAAGGTAAGGGTTATGAAAAAGATTGCCAACAAAGCGACCACAATATTATCTGTAATTGATGACAAAACATGGAGTATGGGGGTAGGGACAAAAAGTCAAGAGATTTTAAGGTTAATGACAGGAAAAAAAATGTTATGCTGGAATTACCCTGGTTGTCCTTGTAGTTATACTAATGCCTGGACCACACTGCAATTTTCGTCCGTCTTAGCCAAATCCCTCTTTGACAACTTTTTGAGCCGTCTCACGACCAAAGACAGCCTCAGTCTTCAAGCAATGATTGAAAACATACAACTCTCATCTGCAATCGACCAATAAAAATGCACCTCTGGATGCAGCAGCAGCAAGACGTCGCCTCTTAGAATTTTGGTTTCAACTTGTGTTTAAAATGTGGACTCTAAGCTACATACCAGTTTTTATTTTTGTTAATGGCCCAGGTAAAACTGGACTTATCCTTTAAATAATTAAACTACCCTTTTTAGACCATCAGCTGAATTGTGAAAACCGGGATTCTGTGATGTGTGAGCGAGACAGATGTGCTCAGGGACATACAAATAAAACACAAAGACAAGAGATGCCTTTGCGGTTGGTGGAAATCTCACATATTCAACTGATAAGGACAGGTTCAGTAGTGTTTTGTTGCTGAGGGACAGAAGGTTGCACGAGTGACAGCAGGTGTGAAAAAATAAAGGAGTGATGATGATAAGCCGTCACAGCGGAGTAAACATTGAGACAGAATTCATGGCAACACGTTAGATATTGGAGCGATGTGTGACAGATTGTTACCTCTCTTTAATGGAGGAAAGAAACGGGTGGTGAAAAAGATGAGTAAATACACACAAAGCACACAATATTAAGCCAATCTGACACCTATAGGTAATATATGAATGTACATATTGAAATGTAATTTACTTTTTCCATTTTTTTCTCCCTTCAAGTCAGGGAGAGTAGCGCCCCGGCGCCCCCTATGGAAGAGCTGCCACTGCTTCACACCAAAGTGAGTTTTGCATTACATGATTATTTTAGCAGAAACCGACTCTGGATTAACAGTCCCTCTTTCCAATGTTCAGAGTTCAGATTGAAGCTTTGCCCAGGCAGTAGAAAAGCCTTTATGGAAGGTGAAGTTATCTGAAATGATGAACTAAATCAAATTTGAAATTTTGAGTCCAAAAATTTTCTTTTGATTCAAATATACATTTTCCATGACATTTCCATTTGCAGGTACACTAGAAACCTCGTTTTTAAAGGGACTTTATGGAGTTTTGAATTTCTATGCTCGCGATTGCCCCCTCAGGCCAAAAGCGTAACGGCAGCTTCAATAGGAGGCTCGTGCACGAGGCGCGCATGCTGTACGTGCACACTCCTTAACGAAAATATAGTTGAGACAGTCCTGTGTGTGTGTGGCCTGGAGGACAGAGGACAGGAGAACGCACAGCTAATTAATTAAATAATTTGGTTTTGTACCTTTCTCTTCAGCACAGCCGACAAAGGTTTATGATGGGTCAGTCCTCCTGCATGCTCAGATCATTCCCTTCCCTTGCTTGAAAAATTGTTCCAAAATGAAAGTTGAACCCACATCTTTTTTACCTGTGAATTCAATGCCGTTCGGCGAGTCTCAAATAAAAATGTGGGCATCTTACTGTAAAAAAATATACCATTAATGTAAAAAATAAACTCTACATAAATTATGTTCACATCAAGAATCAAACCCGGATCTTCCACACGAAAGTTCAACGTTTAATTAGGTGAGCTAAAGCACCAGCAACATCTCTTGTATCTGTAACTTTTATATTCTAGATGACAGCTGAAACGACGTTCAAAGAACGTTTCGGAGCGAAAATGGCTATTTTGTTGCTAATTTGCAGGAAATATCTAGAAGAAAGTAGCTAAGGGTCCTCAGAAATGTAGCTAGGTTCATCACTAGGCATTAGGAACAGCGACAAAGTCGCTGAGTTGGCACTACCTCTCTCTCTGCCGCTTAAGCTATGGATAGCAAATGCTATGGGCTATACCCGAGCGTGAACGCGCATGAAGCAGCCTGCTCGACCCGAGCAGCTCTCTTTTTCTGTGATTTTACAGAAAAACAGGCAATCACAGTAAAAATGCCAGGGCTCATTCTACAGGACCAGGGCATAGCAGGAGAATGTATGAAGAATAAATTTATTATTTATATACATGTTTTGACTGTCAAACTTCCATAATGCCCCTTTAATAACTGAGTGCTTCTATAACAAATTTACAAAAATTGTTCTAAGAGATAGCTTGAAGATTTTGTAATAATTCAGGTGTTAAACCTTTAGTGCAGTAAACGAGCAGAGTTTGAATAAAAATAAAAAAGGGGGTCAAACATTAGTTGTTGGACAAAGGAGATTGTTTTTCACATTTTAAAACTGATTAAAAAAAGCTCAACAATAAAGATGTACAGCTTAAAATGTTCTAATGAAATGTAACAGAAGGAAAAAGAGAGCATCACTGACCACAGCATTCCTCTGCTACAAGATAAATATGCGACTCATTAGTGGGTTTGATCCCCTCCTGATCATTTGTTTCATTCTGCCTCCCCCTCTCTCAGATATTCCTCACCCCTACATTATTTATCACTTTCCCTCCATTGTTGCCTCTCCCGTCCTTTGACTCATCCGCTCTCTCCATCTTAAAGTCTCATCATGGATCTCCATCTTCACATCTTTGTTTGGAATTATTCTAAGCTGTCTGTCCTCATTACCAGACTTCATCTTTCTCCCGTGTTTTTCCTTTCTGGAGGAGATTAAACTTCCATGAGCACTGCATGAGGAAGATTGTTGAAGTTAAAAAACAAGATAGAAAATGAAAGGAGAAGGGACTTTGCAATATGAAGCAATAAAAACCCACAAAATAAAGTCGCTATTACCGTATGCTGGCTAGAATTTGTTAGAAACATGACATCATCTTGTTTTCTATGACTTGCACAGATTAAAAATTGTAGTTTTTTTAACTGATGTTTGCTTTCTTTAGTGTTATTTGCACATTACTGCCTCTCTATATTATTCTTTTTTCTGCATGTTTCTTTTTTTGGGGCACCAAATACCATAGAAATTTCCTAATGTTGTAATTTCTCTCACATATGGCAATGCATCCTTCTGATTCTTTGACTCGTCTTCCTCTCCAATCTCCCCATCTCCTCTTTCTGCCACCTTGTTCTCATTTAGCCAACTTCTTCTGCATCTTTTCCAGGCTTTCCTTATTTTTCTCTGATCATCTCCTCAAACCCTAATTAAGGTATGGGAAAGCCGCTTGTCTGCTGGTAACTTCCCTTGAGTGAGGTCCCTGCTGAAAATCCCTGTGATATGTTAAACTCTCTCTTTATGGAATCAAAGTGCCAAACCAGGCTGTCCTTCACCCCAACTGCTGTACTAAGCTGGGGCTTTGGTAGCTTCGATGTTCATCTCCAGTGAGCTGAACTATAAGGGAATAAGTTTCTTTTGAGTGAGAACTGGACAGTAGTATGCCTCATTTATTCCACTCTCAATGTCATGTTTCAAGTGCTTAAAAACCATCTTCAGTACCATAAGACTTGTGATAAAAGGTTCCAAATTTTTGCTAGGATGAAGAATAGACTGCCACACACGAACCATCAAATCTATTGGTAGTTAAAATTGGAACTTCCAAGTTTAAAGTCAGAACGTTCCTGACCAGCTCTAACGCTGTACATAAGTCATAATAATTGCTATAATTACTAGGAGTGTAACAATATCCAAATCTCACAATACGATATTGTTGTGATATGAACCTCACAATATGATATTTATTGCGATATTGTGGGGAGGCTCACAATAATAAGACTCACAACACAAAATACTTTCACTGGTCATTGGTACATTTGTCATAAACTTTATTATCATTATGACAATTTGAACAGCCTGAAAAGTCAAGAAGTGCAAAATCCAAGTAACAACTCAAAATATATTTATAAAAGAAATTGCAACACAGGTATGGAATAAATATAGGCATTACAACCCATTCAATAAATAAAAATGCCCAGGCACTAAAAATACCAGGTTGTGTGGGCTGCACGCACTCCCATTGGTGAACTGGCCAATGACGTGGAAGCAAAGGATCATGGTCTCTGTAGTTTGCTTTGCTGTGCTACTGTAGAGCAGACTGAAAAGTGTTATTTTTACCTCAACACGTACTGTGGCCATTTAACTACTGTGATATCGCAATGTTGCCAATATTGTTACAGCCCTAATAATTACCTTTTGTATTTGATATTTATGTGAGGTAAACTGTTTTAGTATCAAACATTTCTCGGTAATGTAGCTAGGATGTTGTTGTTAGATGTGACCAGTGTACAAGGTGTACACGTGCCATTTCTAAAATGAATAGATTTCATTTCAAACTAAATCTAACACAAGTACACACCAAATCCCAGTTAGATGTTTAATACAGACTTTTTTGTGATTTCCGTGTCTTTTGCAGAATCATAAGCTGATTCCTGCCTTTAAAATACTGCTGGAAATGTGCAATAGTTCATCGCTGAAGTACTTCCTGTCCAGCTTGTCTATTGTTTAAAGTTTTTAGCCGAGTCAGTAAACTTGGGCCACACATGAAGCAGAATATGACAGTTATAGTCTTTGCACTATTCTAATCAGCTCCATGAATTTCAGTTGGAAGAAGTAGAACCGGGGCTCTTTGAAACCACAACCATGTGCTGATGCCACATCTTATTCTCATCAGGAACTTGGAAACAATGTGTTATGGGGTGGATAAATCAGATCTGCTTACTGAGGAGAAATGGGCAAATAATAAGATAAAGTAACGCTGTTCTTTACTGAGATGTAGTTTGGATAACTTATTCATGCAAGACACTCTCAGAGTTTAATGAAATTATAACACTTACGGAGATAAAGGAAAAACAACCCAAGGTATCTTAATATGGTTGTAACATATTAATCTGAAAATGTTAGCAACGTTGCAACGGGAGGACACAAAACAAACACTGATAACATGAACAGTTAATATAAAATGAAGTATATGTGTTCTAGCTCGCTCAAACCAAAACCTCTCCAAGACAAATACTGGGTCAGACAAGTGAGAATGATTTATCTCACAATGTTTCATGAGCTTAAAAAAGACATAATTAAAAACAGTCGTAACAAAAGACAAATGACCTGACATTAGCAGTTATCCTACTGCTACTTAAAGACAATAGTTCTGAAATCGAATCAAGTTCACAAGAAAATCCAATGTTGTCAACTGTTCACATGTCAAACTGAATCAACTCATGTTTATGGGATTAAAGTAGGTTAATTCATGTATTTAAACCTTGTAAAATGGCACAAACAACACAGACTAATTAGGTAAGAGTCAAAAATGACAATAGTCAGGGTAAATTAAGTAGCTGGACCAGCTAAGGTTAAAACTAAAGTTTCACTGAATGTTTCAGACAATTTGTGTAAACGTCTGCACACAGCTCACTGTTGCTGCTCTAAAACTAAAACCAACAAGTGTCTACAAATACATGCAAGACATATTGATGGATAAACTAGGGACGGGGACAAAAAGAGTAGGGAAGGTTTTACTCACATGTCTTCTGGTGTCCAGTGTAGAAGAACCTTTACCTTGCCAGGCCCCTCTTTCCTTTTGGCTAGCACCTGGTGTCACAAAATAAACAAGTCCATTACATTATAATAACATAAATAGATGAAATGTAACCTAAACAGCCTTTTTTTTTTTTAGATTTCAAGACAATTTGTGATTTTACAACAGATGAGCAACTGTAAGTTTATCTTTAGGGAAATACTTTCAAAGATGTTTCCCCATCATGATCTCTAATATGAACAACAAGGTTACATGCTTTAACTATTTCTGATACAGGGATGGAAGGTTACAGAGGAATCTGTTACTGTAGTTATTACTACGACGTTCATAGTAGAGTTGGGCGATGGGACAAATTATTCGACCATCAGCAATGGGCTGAGCCGCTGCTATTGTTTTTACAAGAGGCGATTTGTTATTTGTTTGGCTGTGCATAAGTTTGTTAATGACAGATATTTTACACAAAAAAATTAAATAACAAGAAAAGAGCATCTAAGCATTCTCTCCCTTTCTCCGCATCTTGCTGCTGACAGCAAGCGGCACGCTGAGGAGGAGATGGGAGTGTGTCTGTGACACACTTGGCATCGTGCACAAGAGCGCAGCGTCAAGTGGGAACCCTTGTATTTGTCAGAGAATCTCGTAGACTTCTGGTTATTTCATAGTAGTAGTAGTGGCCGTTGTTCAGCACCCGCTCTCAGTGTGTGAGCGGAGTGTGGATTCATCGAGAACAACATCCACGAGTCTGTCTGATACATAGTTCCAGAACCTCAGGACCTCTTCAGCAAGCTCCCTAAAGACATTCGATTATACACAAGCTGCGGGTGACCAGTTCAGATTTACGCAGAGCAGAAGGAATGTGTGTCCAGGCCACAGCAGGTGAAATGTTCCTGACTTAAGTGAAATTGATTAATTGCATTGTTTATATGGAGTACTCTGGTCAGCTTGTTTGGACTAAATATGAATTAAAATGAATGGAAACTGAATGATTATTATTTTAAGAATGAAAGGGACGGGGATGAATGGATCATGTGACCTCTAGCTGCAAGCAAATGCTCCCTCCTCTGAGTGCGTCCAAACACAGCAGCGGTTCATTTCATTTCTCAAAGTCATAAAAGAAAGAAACCCAGTCCCATTTATTCAGAAAAAATAAACATTTTGCCAAAATAAAATACCATAAAAGTAGTGGGCACTGCAGGGAAACAAAGACGAGGCTTCTTTTAACAATTTAGTCGTTTATATATAACATTACCAAACTACAAATTCAAACTTAAACAAAAATCGAACTTTCTCTTCCTGCTAACATTTGCACTGCGCTTCTATAAAAAAAATAATAAATCAGTGTTTGTACTTTTACTGTATTCGCATATTAGTCTGTCCATCACATGGACGTAGTTTTGACTAAGTGTGGGGGCACAACCGGTGTCGGTACAGGATCTGCTCGGGTGCAAGATCGGCCCGGGGTCCGTCGACTGCTGATGACGTCAAAGTAGTTGATTGGCTGAACATGAACCTTACGGAAGTTACGTAATCACGTTACGTTGATCCAGGCAAATTTTTCTGTTGGAAAGATGGACAACTTTTACAAAGAAATCCATCATTACCTCTTTGAAAATACACTTTTAGCATAGAGCTGCATGTATATCAGGCCTGAACGATTAACTGCATGTGCAATTAAATTGCGATGTGACAAAAGGAGATTTTCTAATCGCAAAAGCTGCAATTTGGCAGCGAGTGGTTAGCGCAATGCTAATATACATGGAAAAACCCATAGGAATGCTAATGCTAATATCACTGATTACATTCTTACAAATTATGAATTAGAAACGAGCCAAAAAATTACATTTGGAGTCTAATAGAAAGTAAAACTACCATCAATCAAATAAGCACAGACAGGTATTTAAGTAAAGCCAGAAAACTTTTAACTCCAGAGTTTTGGCTATAGCAGCTATGACAAGTGGTGCTCACTGCAGAACCACAAAGGTGGAGCTGCACCACAGTCAGTCCCGACCCATTCCATCAGAGTCAGTCCAATTCCTTCCAGTTGTCAGACTTAATAGCATTCTGGAACCAAAGAGGGTTTTACATCTAGTATCATCTAAAATGCAAGATTGAGGACTGAGTTGAGAAGTTAACTGAACCGTTTTTGTAAAGGTTCCATATAATTAAAAATCTAACTTTTGGAACTTTTTATCATGTTATATTGTCATTTCCTCATAAGAAACACGCCAAAGCCATTTTGGGCCTCATTCACACATTTTGCTCCCATTGCAGCTTCAATTTGGTCCTCTCCTCCGAAGCGGGTCTGGTCTTGGTTCTCAAATCTGGATATTCTGTGAATTTTCTGACAAATTATCTCTGAAATGACTTCTACTGAGACACCGCCGAAAAATCATACATCCCATCTACAAAAACACACTGGATGGCACAATGACATGTGATGCCACTACCTTGTTATTAGATGTGGTGGTAAAGTGGTTGTGCAGTCAGTTTGGCGTGTAATTTTGCGCCGGTTCGCCTCCCGGTAAGGGCGCAAACTTTTTTCTTCTTTTCTAGCTACACTTGCCAGTACTATGTTTTTAACCATTTATTGGTATACCGTTTACAATATAATGACTAATGTGTTTGTTTTTCTATTTATTTGTTTATTTAGCCAGTGTGAGTCCATTTGTGAGCAGAGTTTCAACTAAAATGCTGTTTAGGAACAACCAAATTCAAAGAACTTTTAGACATAAATCTTTTGCAGAAAATAAACATTACAACTAAAATATAAACAAATTAAATGTTTCAGCTGGCTAAATAGTTAGCTGCCGACCCCAACGAGAGTCGAACCAACATCAGCTGAGGGGAAAGCAAAATTTAAGGGTGACAATGTTGCCACTTGACTACCAGAGCCAACCAAAGAACTGTCCTTAAATGCTTTTCTAGGTGCTTAATGCTTTGTTGAAGTGGCTATGGACATAATATTTGTTACAAGAAACCTTTTCATGTCGGGATATATTCGGGCTTTGTCATGTAGCAAGTTATATTTATCTTGCTTAATTGGAGCATAGAACATAGCATTAACATTTGTAAAGCAGTAACAGCCGTAATTCATGTGGGTCAGGTTAGTTTGCGATAAAGCTAAAGAAAAAAAAAACAGAAGTCAGTGGGCTAGGCTGTTTGCGTGAGTGGGCGGGGCTGACTCTGGTACAGCTCCACCTTATGGTGCAGCTCCGCCTTTGTGGTTCTGCAGCGAGCACCCTCTCAGCTATGAGCGTAACTGAGCTACGCATGGACAAGACGTCAAAAACTCTAAACACAAAATACTTCAATAAACGGGACACACTTGTTTCCTGCAAATACAATTTCACAGGTGTTGCTAATACCTATGATCCATCAAGGGATGTGCTCAAAGAGGAGTTCAACATTATGAATAAAATAGTGTTTTATTTTACAAATACCATTATAAACACAAACTTACGTCTTAAGAAACATACGTTTAATAACGAAACTGATAAATTCTTTCCAACAGTATAGATGTGTAGTGTATTTTGTCCGAGTGGGTTTGCCATACTTTGACGTCATCAGCAGTCGAAGGACCCCGAGCCGATTTTGCACCCGAGCAGATCCTGTACCGACACCGGCATGTAAGTATACAAAAATATGTATAAAACTACAGCCTAGAGGCTCTTTTATACAATGTCAGGAATGCAGAACTGTGAACTACACAAGTGACAGTAAAACAAATACTTTCAATTCAACTTTGTTTATCACCTTGTTAGTCATTTTCATTCCTACTCATTGTCACCATTTTACACCTATTTTTTGAATATCTGCTCAAAAAAGCTCATTTACATCAGATTCTAGCTGAACTCTTGGTCGTAGTGCTCAACCAGTCTAATGGGCCATTCCCATCTGTACCGGGTCGGCCCGGGCCGGGTAGCCCCAGTCGGCCCCAGCCTGGCCCGGTTGATTCCACACATCCTTGCCTTAAGCCCATGTGGGCTGATTCTACCCACCAATCAGAGGCTTGCTCTAATGGAAGGTGTGAATTTGCTGTCAGCAGTGGGTGTGTTGGCCCTGGTCGGCCTGAAGCAGACCCCCTCGAGAAGAGGGCTGAGAATGAGCCTTGGTTGGCCCGGAAAAATACCAGGCCACCCAGATATGTAAACAACCTACGCTACCCGGCCCGGGCCGACCCGGTACAGATGGGAATGGCCTATATGTAATATAGTGTAATATTGTTTTTGGATAGTGGGGGACATGGTGGGGGTTTGGAGGGGGCAGGGTCCCCCATCCCCCCAAAAACGTATGCCCATGTCGCATCATGACGTTGCTCAAACAGTCACACGCACAAATAAATCGCCCATCGTCATTTATTGGACTGACAATTGGCGGTGAAAAAATGTAGACAAATCGCCAAACCCTACTTCATAGATAAAAGTGATTAAATCCTGTCAAAACCCCATTTATTGTACCACAGAAGAAGAAAACCAGAAACCACACTTAACTAAATCCTGTTTTGTCTAATCTGTCATGTTTAGTTTAGTTTGGACTCAGTTTAAAATAAAAAGCTCAACTCCTTGACTCCCAAAGCAAACTTCAAGGCTTTTCTCTTTGTAAAACCAGTTCTAAACAATTTCCAAATAGTTGGTTGTTATAGGCGTACCATTTCATCTGTCACGCTGTGTTAGTTTACAGTAAACTGGTCAGGAATTCAAAAATATAGAGAAAGAAATAACTAGGAAAGCCAAAAATAGACGCAAATTGAACCTTTTGCGTTATTTAGCTTTTTGTTTTTTTTCCCCAACATTTCTGTTTTAGGTTGGTGAATGAGCTCACATAAGAAGAACTTTGCATTTATGAAAATCCTGAAATATGACTGCTTCTCTTGAGATTTTGTGCACCATTAATAGAAAATGGTTTGAGAAGAGAATAAATGAGGCTCTGTTTAGAATAAAACACTGAGAACTTAGATCTTCCTCTGATGAACAAACTTTACTTTCCCCATTTCCTGGAAAGCGTGTATTTTTTCTTGACTGAGAGAATTTGTTTTAATTTATCGGACTACTTAAAA